ATTGTCAAGGTTACCAACGCCCTAACCCCTTGCCCAGATTTGGTGAGGGACGGGTAAGGTCTGATGGCTTCCAGGGTACCATGGAAACACTGACCTGTCTTACTGTCCGTGATAGTAAGGCGCCCAGCACACCCCTCACTGACAGATCTAGGTGAGGAAGGAGCTGGCCCTGTTGTTAAAAGGGGCATTGTGAGGCAACAGGGACCCCGTACCGAAGGTCTTCCAAGATTTGCGGGGGACGTGTCGTTTACGGGAAGATCAGTTAGGGAATTGTTGCATATGTTGTGTGCTCAAGGATGTTCCTTGACTAGGGTTGCAGTGCGTGAGCCGTTGGTCCTTGTGCGATTCTATGGGCTCCTGAGAGAGGGCCCCCACTTGGATGACCCTATCGGAGGTAGCCACGTTATTGTTAACGCTAGTACGGTTCCAAACCTGGTGCTAGGAAGGGAGCAGCTACACATGTTGAGTGTAGGAGATCCACTATGGATGTTCCAAGGAGGATTCTATGCTGATGTTACGGAGTGTGAGTCATTGGTCCTCGTGCGCCTCTATGGGCTCCTGAGAGTGGGCCCCCACTTGGACGACCCTATCGGAGGTAGCTACGCTTTTAGTAACACCAGCACTGTTTCGGACCTAGTGTGCCTGTGGGATGGCCAGGCGAGCATTACCTATGGTTCTGGTTACGGTCCTACTTACCCTATGATTTTGGGGAGTTGTGATGGTATATCAGATAGTGGGGCGTTGAATGCAAGATTGGTTTGTTGTGGCCGTCCTCATCAACGAGACCTCTGTGATGTCTTATCCACCGTTAGGCTTTTGGCCTTCATGATTGCGAGGGTTAGGGCTTACCGGGAGGCCACTACAATGGGTGTATCCACCCTGGGTAACCAAGAGGGCCCATTCGTGGAACACGCAGGCCTAGCTCGGGGCACGGTATGCTTAATACCGTATGACTTCCGAGCAAATTATGGTGATGTAGGGGATCTCATCAGGGTATTGACATCACCCCCATCACGTTCTGGAGGGGAACATGTCCATATGGTGGGGAATGGAGAGGATAAATGGGTAATGTTATCTATGGACAACAATCCCCTGTACGGTGGGAGCGGTGGTTCCACTAGCTTAAGGGGGAGCGTTGGAGTAAGGAAATATGATCGTGCCGATGTGAAGGGTACGCCTTGTACTATTAGTATGGCTACGAGTAATACTGCTACCACTACAGTAATCCCTACTACTAACTCAATATGCTGTCATATGTTATCGATTGGTAAGGTTGTCCGGGAGGGCGATCTGCCTAATTCATCGACCTCTGTTGGTCGAGGAGTGCAAGAGACTGCACCATTGCTATTTGAAGAATTAAATGATCCAAGGTTCAACCATGTTGGAGGGTCTTCCTCAAGTTGTTATGATATTGAGGTAGAGGGAGGAAATGGAGATACCTCAAAGGCCCCAAAGAAGGATAAAGAAGTAGGTTTGAAGGAAGTACGTACAGATACCCCATCCAGTCAAGACCCCCCCGGAGAGTCCGCTCGAGACTTGACGGATAAGGATAATAAAGATGGAGAGGAAACATCTTCGGATGGATTAGTTAAGGAAAAAGGTGAGCAACGCGGGCAACGGGAGAGGGGAAAGAGGGATGGATTCGAGGATCGCGCGCTGAAGGATGAGTTGAGAGGAGTACGAGATGGAATCAAGCGAGTGAACGAGCGAGCGAGCGAGCGAACGAGCGAGCGAGTGAACGAGCGAACGAGCGAACGAGTGAATGAACGCAGAGAGCGACGGAAAGATGCAAAGTCGAGTAGTCGAAGAAGGTATAGAGGGGACTCCAGAGAAGATAGCAGAAGGTATGTGATACCGAGCGACGATTCGAGGGAACCTAGGAGGTCGAGAAGACGGACTAGGACTACCCGTCGATCTCGTAAGAAGGGTTCGCCATCGCCGAGTGACTCGAGTTCAAGTTCAAGTTCCTCGGATTCTAGCCGGCGGGATAGGGCACGGAAACGGTACGAAAGTAGCAGCGAAAGTTCGTCCGTGGCAAATTCGAGCTCACAGAGTGATATGAGGTATAAGTTGACGAGAGGGTCTCATTATCGTCCGATGCGAAGGTTGCATAGGCAAAGGAGAAGCTGTGACGGTTGTGGAGCGACGAGATGTAGGGACCCCATCGCTATTAAGGAGTTCGATAGTGCTCAACAAACCGCTCTCAAATTAAAGCCGGATTATCGTTTCCGAGGTAACGAGGATCGAAGGTCTGGCACCATGTGGTTGGCTGAGATGGAACGGAAAACAGAAGGGCATCCTGAGGTTGTGCAATATTTATGGTTGAAACAACATACCGAGAGCGACTGCTGGGATACAGTCGTGGATAGGCAAAAGACACCCTATCGTTGCCATAACTCATATGCGAAGCATCTGGCTAAGGTTTATAAGAGAGTCAGAAGACTTTATGATACGGATGAGAAATTACAGAGGTCGCTGAAGGCGTTTGAAAACTGTCGACAAGGGAAAGATTCTGTATATTTCTTCATCAAGCGGTTGGAGAGGTTATCTTCGGAGTTATACTACCTAGGGTCTCCTACCCTAGAGTACACTCTGAAATGGAAATTGTATATGGGTTTAGATGATAAGGAGTTACGAGGGAAATTGGATGACTACGTTTCGGACCCTAAGGTGTCATTCAAAGCTTTGAAGAAGCGAGTGATGAATCGGGCTCAGAGGATGTACCAGATATCTAAGATGTTGGGAGATGGAGAACGGTCCGATAGGGAACGAATACGATATAGGAGCCGATCATCTAGTAGGGTCAGAGAAGAATCAGTTAACTCTATTGGGTCGAATGGTATATCCGATAGGGAGAGCTGTTATTCGGAGAAGGCAATCCTAGCGATAGGCCGGGATACAGCGGGTATTAGATGTTATCGATGCTTGAAAAAAGGACATTCCGCGAGTAGTTGTTTGGCTACGGAGCCTGCAGATATGGAGAATCGATGCATTAGGTGTGGGAGCCCATCTCACACGTTGGATAAGTGTAAGGTGAAGATGGAAAAGGTTATCTGCAAAAGATGCAAATTCCCAGGGCATTTGGCTTATACATGCAGAACCAATATAAAGGATGGTTCGCAAGGAGTTGGTACACCGACTGCGAGAGGCAGAGTAACTCCAAATGCAAAGGTGCATATGGTCGGAACTATAGAAGAGAGGGGTGATTTGGATGGTGAAACTATTAAAGAAGTGGAAAACTATAGAGTGACGTCTACTAATGTGGATTATGTTCCGATGGTGATTGGAGAAGTCATTTTGGAGGGCAAACCGGTATCGGCACTATTCGATACGGGAGCTGAAGCCTCGCTGGTGACTATATCAACGCTGAGGGAATATGTTCCGAATGCGACGGTGGATTCGCAATCAGTACCGAAAGTCAGCGTGGCAGATGGAGCGGCGATGACGATTCTGGGAAAGGTGCAACTTACGGTAGCCACGGCAAGTAAAGCGGTTACGGAGTGGTTTATTGTAACGGAGGATACAATGTCGGTACCCGTCTTATTAGGGTGTTCAACCTTGGCGAAGTTGAATACATCCATTAGTTTAACTCCAGAAGGTGTACAGGTCCAGACGGGACTAAAGAATTATCCGAAAGTCGGAGGGTCTTATAGACGAAGGAAAGTTCACTTTGATGACAAGGTTTTATATCTTCCGAATAAGAGGGTTACATCAAGCCCATTCTCTAACAAGAACCTAACGATCCAATACCAGGTCTATAAGGTTAATAGATTGTTGAAGGAGAATGAAGATAGATCGAGTAAGGATGAGTTCGTGGAGTTAGAGGATTTCTTGCGGCCAGACTCCCCATGGTATATTGAGAATTTGAGAGATGGAGTGAGTAGAGAATCAAAAGAAGTGTATTCACTTGAGGGATTTTCTGGTGGCGAGGGAGAGCAACCCTCGGATTATGACTCGATTAAGGATGGTCGGATCAATGTTGACGGTACCCCCCCCACAAATGATAAAGAGCAACGCGGGCAACGACAAGAAGAGAGGGAGTCGGAAGATATGGTCGATAATAAGCCCCCTTGGGAAGTATTAGAAAGAAGGTGGTTACGGGACGATAAGGCTGTGTTAGGAAGAGTGATGATATCTACGCCATGGATGGGGGAGGAACGACCAGATATGAATTATAGATATGCTGCAAAGAGAGGAGCGCATTCTGTGGAGCGATTGAATAAGGTTCAAAGAGAAGCGTTTGAGAAAGCGCTGAACCAATATGTTACAAGAGGATTTTGCGGCATTGTTAAAAATAATAAGGAGGATAATTACGAGAAGCTTCCGACGGCTACGGAATGCCAGGCGATATGGGAGTTATTGACGGAAGGGAGTGCATTGCAAGGGACGGTAGTGATGCTACCAAAGCATTTCACTCCATCACATACGGTCTTTCGCGATAACCATGTGACGACGCCGTGTCGGATCGTATTGGATTTCCGGGAGCTTGATAAATATTGCTATAAAGGCGGGAAAGCTCAAAATGATTTGTTGGGAGTGTTACTGCATATAAGGAGTTTTCGCCATTTGATTGGTTCGGATGTGTCTAAGGCATTTTGCCAAATGGTCACATCTATGGTTGATTTACCCTATACCTCTTATACTTGTATAGGGGAATACACGGTATTGTGGGAACGCATATCGTTTGGGAGTACTATGGCTCCCAATATGTTGGAGGCTTCGACATATGATGTCATTAAAGAAATTGAAGGTATAGTTGAGTGCTTACCACCACATAGTGAAGGGCTGGTTGATGCGAAGGAGCTGGATAAGGAAAAATTAGCTAAGGCCATGCTTTATTATTCGAAGAGTGGGTTGGATTATGTGATGGGTGGTCCTGCTATCCCCAGCAAGATGTTATTCCAGAAATTCGTAGATGACCTGTTCTTTGGTGGAGATACAATGGAAGAGGCGAAGCAATGTAAGCAATTCGTCAGCTATATATTCCAGGGGCATGGATTGTATACGGATCCAGCTAAGGATTTGGTGGCATCCGATGATTTCGATTCCCGCACCGGAGAAGCGAAGAGTGGTCATATGTTGGGTTACCTGTTGGCTTTAGAGAGAGATGATTTACATTGTGTATTTACGGGGACTATGCCGAAGGATAGAGTGACCAAGCGACAGGCGTTGGCAGTGTTGTCTTCACTCTATGACCCTATGGGGTTATTGTTAGAGTTGGACATGCAAGGAAGGTTCTTATGGCATGCAATTAGCAAGGTCTATAAGGACTGGGCCAACGTGATTGACGCGACTTTGACCACAAGGTTGAAACATTGGGCTCAAGAAGCACATCGATTGTCGTGCTGTATCGGGACCAAAAGGTTTGTGGATTTGGCTAACAATTCGCTTATAGTTTCGACGGACGCGTCGACAGATGCGTGGGGTATAGATGTGCGAGCTTATGGTGAGTATGCATCAGTAAGGCTTATGGCAAAAGGAGGTATTTTTCCTGCGGCACAAGCCTTATGGTCTATACCAAGGAAGGAGTTAGTCGGCGTGCATCAAGGTCTGAAGTATATTCGTTCGGTGTCGAGCCATTTGCCGGTTCAAACCTTCTTAAGGCCATATCAGGCACCATTGTTGTACCTTTCGCCTGATCATAAGGCCCGACCGATGGTTTTACTGTGCGATAGCGAAATTACGATTTATAGGCTAAGGAGGGCGGCTAATGACAAAAGGTTACCTGCTCCAGAGAGAAGGAGATTGGTCGAAATACGGAGTATGTGTGAGGAGCTGGATTGTGTCGTAAAGCACATCCCTTCGGAGTTAAATTTCGCGGATTCGATTACTAGGGCCAGGTTGGATTTTGGAAGAAGTATCAAGGCGAATGATGTGTTGGCTGCTATGGATTCTTCGAAAGTGATTTATGACTATCGAGAGACGATTGGTGAAGAAAAGGGGGTTGATGAAGATGCATTCATCGGAGTGATGGCTCTGACTGTTGATGGTATCGATTTACCCTCTGTGCAAGGATTGAATGATGATCAAGCAGAAGAGTTAACGGGATTAATGAGGTATGTCTCCCCTGATGGTCGGTATGATGAAGGATTGTTAAATGATGAAGGGTTTGAAGAAATAGTAGCCCGATGTGTTCGAAGGTGTCAAGAAGTAGATAGCGAATTGGGTCAGTTCCGACTGTATTTGAAGGGTGAAGTATCGAGGTCACAGTTGGGATTGAAGGCGAATATCCTAGCAAGACTAGGAAGGATATGCTATGTGGATACCGATGGTTTACTACACCGGAGACCCAGCAGTTCGGATGACTCTAAGCGCCAGTATGGTAAAGGGGTACTTTACCTAGGCGAGACGGGTTACGCTGCTAGCGTTGTACGGATTTTGTCGGCCATATACCACTACATCTACGGTCATCTAGGTGCCCCTAAGGTGTATGGTAAATTGACGTTGAAGTACTGGTGTAAAGGACTGAAGAGATTGGTCAAGATAACCATTGGTTCATGTGTCTCTTGTCTTAAAGCTAGAGCGGCGAGGAAGATCGACTATGTTACTACCCATGTACAAGGGTTGATTACTACAGGATTGTGGCAAGTAGTCGGTGCCGACCTAGCTGGTCCCTATGGTAAGTGTTCACCGGAAGACGGTGATGTCGACCACTACATGTTGCTGGTACACGACCATGTGTCGGGGTTTACCTGTGCTCGACCGCTACGTGATTCCCGTCCGAAGACTATTGCTGCAGGGTTCCACTCCATTTTTTGTGAGCATGGTTCCCCCAAGGTGCTGTTGACGGACAATGATAGGGTTCACTTTGTGCGGAAGGATGTTAAGGTTGTCTTGGCTAGACATGGCGTTAAATACTACACCCTGCCGGGGTATGCTCAGTTCCTAAGCTTTTGGGAACGACCGCATAAGGATTTCGTCGAAGTTACTAAGGCTATCAGAGCTAGTGCTAGATCTGAGGACGCTAATTCCTATATTGCGGACTACCTTATGGCAGTAAGAGCCTACAATATGACTCCAAGGTTGTGGGCAAATCTCTCCCCCGCGGAACTCCATTTTACTTACGGTATTAGGGTTCCTGGCGAGAGAGGGGAGTGCAGTGAAGAAATTGATTGGGACGCTCTAAAGATGAAGTACACTGATACGGACACCATCAAGTTCATGCGAGATGGCCTCCCATTGTTGAGGGAAGTTCGGAAGGATGCGGAGGTTCGATTGTACGAGTATCTAGATTTATGGAGGATTCGACAAGAAAGGAATTTGGAGAGGATGGCCAAGAACAACGATCGTGTCTACAGTCCCAAGCTGTTTGATATTGTATTTACATCGAAGAGTCCACAACACCGCATTGGGCATCATTTGGACACTATATGGTCCGGGCCTCATACGGTTACGGGTCTTAAGGGAAGCTCTGTGGTGGACGTGACACCTGGAATAATCTTTCCGGGGTTAGGAGGAGTCGACATTGACGAGGTGGACGATTCTAAGGTTATAGTTCCCGAGGAATATGGGAAGCCAGAGTCTTTCGCTCTTAAGAATGTTGTTCATGCCGCTGCCTTACAAGGAGTTATCTATGAGTATCTCAACAGAGGCGTTAGAGTTTATCTAGATGCTGATGGGACTCTCAAAGAGATGAAGCTCCAGGAGGGTGATGATGATGGTGAACTCGTGAGTAAGGCTAGGGCTGAAACAGAGTTGAAGAGGTTAGCTAAGAAGGCCGAAGAGGCTGAAGGATTGGGATTGTCCCGAGGGAACTTTTTGCCTCCGGGAGTCGAGCCATTGGGGTTGGTGGAGTACGACGAGGATGTCCAATTACCACCCAATGTCAACCCGGATATATCATCTGAGGAAGCGTCTATGGACTCTTCTGAGGAGGATGATATTGAAGAGAGAAGGATAGTCGATGTCTCCTTGCTTAGAGAACGCTTAGGCTTTGCTGAAGGGTTACGCTTTGGTAAATTTCTAAGAGTTAAGCCACCTAAGAATTCTGTTGTGATTACTGTTGGAGAAGATTATGTGGGGATGGCTATAGTTCTCGAGCGCGAGGAAGAAGGTTATGAAGATAAGGTTCTCCTTCAACCGATGAAGGTTGAGCTATTTAACGGTTGCATCACGGTTAAGAGGGTAGAGGATATTGATTTGGTTCACGCCGAATTAGATTCTCTTATTTATGTGAGCCCGGACAGTCGTCACTGGACTCGCAGAAGGAGTAAGGAGGTGTTGCAACTACTGGAAGACATCGACGTTGGGGCCATGGCTCCATTATATAACTTACAATTACCGTATTGTAGCGACTATGTTCTTTGACTATTGTTGTTATGGCTAACCCTGACTAATGTTTACTGCTTCTTATTGGACTATACGGCAGTAATGATGCTGCGGTATTAGTTATGATTATTGCACTCTATTGTCTTGGATCTAGACCACACTCTGTTATAGTGTGAGCGCCTAGTTGCGCACTTCTTGCAATCTTGATCTCTTGAGGTTTCGTAATGACGGTCGCGAGATCGTTGGTTCCTAAGTGAGACGGTGCTCCTTAAGGACAATTATTGAGTCTTAAGGATCGAGCTAGCCTTTATTGTATAGCCTATATTCCATTGGTGGTGTGTGAAATGGTTAGAGCATTTAGAACCGTTTCGGTGTTGAGAGGATGCTTGAAACGGCTCGACCGTTTCGCCCATTACGGTTTAAAGATGCTTGCAACATCTGTTGTTATTGCTCTACTGTTCCGTGAGGTAATTATCCACTCGTATAAACGTTAGGGGATAATATCGCTGTTGTTCTATACTGCATTCTTTTTGCAGTATTGTTATTGCCGAGTTATACTCACGGGTTTTCACACTTTCCTATGGTTGACAATTTGGACAAGGCTATTACTAAGGTGGTTGAAGTGGTTTCAGAAGGTCGTATTTTGAAGCCAGAAGATGTCTTGGCCATGATCGACGACGTTGACTACTATGCAGAGGCCGAGCTTGTGTCCAAAATGGTCGAGGAAACCAAGAAGAAGGGTATGGACTTTGCTGTTCACTGTATGGCTTCTGGTATTAAGATAGATGCGCCTGGTGAAGGGTCTAACCCTGTTATTGAAGAGATAAGGGACTTCGTTTGGAAGGCTAACGTCGACTTTGCCAAACTGACGAAGACGGTTACGTTTAAGGGTCCTATTGTTCGCTACGAGTACTCCCGTGAAGTTAAGCAGGGTTGTTACAATGACTCTAAGGTTAAAGGTCCTCGGCTTACTAGTGGCGGTCTGTCTTTCGCCGTTACACCTTTGATAAGGCGAGGTATGTTCAACCAGTTCGAGCAAGAGGTTATGCATCTGACTCTCGTTAAGGGAAGTACTTTCGTCCCTGAAGTATGGACGTCTCTCTCCCCAGAGTTAAGGCTTTTTATAGTTACTGGAGAGACAGTCTTTTTGGATGCTAAGCCTGGTCAAGAACTAACGGTTGAGGTACTCGAAAAGGCTGGAATATGGCATCCCTGTTCCATTCTTACCGTGGGTTCTCTGTTACGGTTTATTTGCGTCAAGATGATGTTGGACGTTACGTCTCAGTGGGAGAATACTGAGAATTATCCTATCCTCCTCCCCCTTAAGATTCCTGCTGAGGATTCGGCACTGGCGGAGGAAAGGTGTTATCGTATGGTTACCCACTCATTGTATTTTACGGCCTTGAGGATATTGACTATGTATAAGGTTCTCTTTTATAGGACTTTACACATATATTTCAAGTCGGTTAAGAACTATTGTATGGTGAACCGCTTGGAAGGTCATACTTTTGATACTATTGCTCAGCAAGCTTGGAAAAGGTATGAGTCTGAGATGTTCTATATTGAGACGGAAGGTCCTGATGATAAGTGTTTCTATAGGGCTCTCACAGTTGCTGAGACAAGGTTCTGCCGTGTTCGTGATGGAGAAGAAGAGGCCTATCCTATGGATGGTTCAGCTATGGCTATTCCGTGGGAGACTAGGGGTGACCATGATGAGACGCTTCAGCAAATCGCTAGAGATCCTAAGAATGGTTATGTTGATTCTGCTACTAAAGAACCTACTAGGGTGGTTGATGAAGCTACTGTCGCTACTATTACTAGTAATGATGCTAAGGTTACAACCCCCCAGGTGGAGGTGACTGGTAATGATGGTTCTTCCTCTAAGTGGGACAAAAACTGGTATGGTTCTTCCTCTAAGTGGAGTGGAGGATGGTATAATACTACCGGTTCGGCTTCTAAGTACAAGGGTAACTGGTATGAGACTCCTCAGTCCGAGAGTAAGGGTCTTCCCCAACCTGTATGGGAATCTCCGGCTATTGTTACTAATGATAAAGAAGCACAAGGTGGTTCCAGCTGTTCTAAGAGTGTATTTTTGAGTGATGTCATGAAGTCCACTTATGAAGGAGGTTCGGTTGAAGTAAAGTCTTCAGAGAAGGGTAAGAAGAAAAAGTCGAAGAAGAAGAAGTCTAAAGGGTCTAAAGATGAAGGTTCTTCAAGCTCTTCTAGTTCTTCAAGTAGCAGTAGTGATGAATAAAGATGATGATTGTAAGGTATTTGATTATTTCTATTTCGGCAATACGGTTGATACGTAATGTCAATATGATATTGTCTGTACTTAACTGTTGCCAAAGGTATGTATATGGTATATTTTTCCGAGTTGGATTGAAGTCGCCAATAGTTGAAATTGGGTAATTTCACGCGGGCAATGTGCGCGTCAGCGCAAGGCACGGAGACCTGTTAACTCTTATCGGTTGATGGGGTCGCCTTGTTTTACGGTATTTACTGTACTTTCTTTTACGGTATTTACTGTCTGCTGTCTATTGTGCTAGCCTTGATGATTCGCGTCACAGATTTGTGCATGCGTGCTGTTCCCAAGGGTGCGTGAACCCTAGGGTTAGGCGTTCGCAACGACGTTCGTTTGCTTACGTTGGACCTGAGCCCAGGCTCAGAGTGATTTACTGTGATTTGAGGTATATCATTCGCTAGTGGCTAAGCTTCGTCTGAACGGTATCTTAGTCAGGGATTAGTTTACGGTATTGTATACGAGTTAGGCATTGTGTTTACTAGTCACGATGGTATTGACTCGTAGTGGCAAGAGTTCGAATAGAGTCGTTGATCATTCGGGTCAACGGAACCCAGTTGGGAACATTGTGAAGATTAAGGAACGTGCTTGTCGTACGGTTCGTTCTAGGATTTCAGGGAAAGTTAAAAGTGATCCCAGTCACTACGCGCAACGTTTACCTACACTAACTGGGAATTTACCTACACCTGTGGTCAGTGATCACCGCCGTTGTGCACAGCGCGCTGAGGCCAGGGGCAGTATGCGGATACTGATTCATGAATCTGAATCCATGATTCAACTCACGCTCTGATCCTGACTCATGATTCAACTCACACATTGATTCGAGAGAACTGATTCAGATTCTTTGCTTAGGAGAAAGCGTCGAGATTTCTGAGTAGAGTACTTGAGACAGAGTAAGATTTCGTAATCATGAGCAAGATCCTTGATCCTTGATTTTAATCAGCCGCTGAATCCGATTCCTGATTTCTAGTCACGATTCAAGATTCAAATCTATACTCAATGGCTGATTCAGAGTTTTCGGCACTGAATCAGAGACTCTGATTCAGAGTATTTCAAGTTAGTTAAGGCCCTGGCAGCGCTCGACACGTAAAAGCCCCTCCGACTCGAGAGTGTTGGATTGGAGAACCGAGGCGCCATTCAACGGAGGCTGGATTTCCAAGTGGGGCGACGCGAGATTGCCAATCAGTCTGCCACTAGTCTCAGACTACTGTAGTAGTTTTAATGACTAATCAGGTCGAATATTCATATGTCATCGCGATGATCCTGATTTCTCGTTCCAGACTCTGTAACTTCGATTTCAAAACTAAAGTGAAAACAATTTCCAATTTAGGAACTTCAAATCGGACACATACGTCCCAACTCACCAAGAAAGACTTCGAGACTCCAGATTGAAGCCTTGCGTTCAGGACAGCCTAATGCTCTCTTGTTCAATCGAATATGATAGCTCAGGGCCTGAGCCTCGGGCTCGGAAGAAGAAGTTCCTGTCGTGGGCCCTGTAGTGGCCTTTATAATGGCCATGACTCTGGTATTTTTTGCTAAGAATGTGGCTAAATTGAAGTTGCTAGGTTTGAAACTATTTTCACTGAAATTTTGAAATTGAAGTTCCAATTGTATCCAAAGTGGAGTTCTTCAATTCCCCTCGATAAAAATCGAAGTTACTAAACGAGAGCCTTCAATTCTACCTCGCCCGCCGCTCCAAATAGGCGTTGGAAAGATGTAGACTTATGGCCGGACTAGCGTTGAGTAATCAAGTCTAGTGTGATAACTGGCCTACCTGGTATCTCTCTGGTTTGATCCGAGGTGGAGTGGCTGTTGAAGAGTTCGCGGCAATCATACGTTCATTCAAGCGCAGTGGTCCACGCCTCAAGTGAGGCAGTATGTTTGGATGTATGGCTTGAGTTGGAGTTGATGGTTGAGTGTTTGGGTCATCCAGTCATCAATCACACCTGATCGGTATCCGCTCGAGAATGGTCATTGGCCACTTGTTGACCATGCCGTTGGTCGTCATCAATATGGGAGGTGAAATGATGTAACATGGGCTAGCTTACTCTCGTTGTTGACGGTTCGCTAGATGTTATAGGGCCTTGCTCCGTTGTCAGGTTGTGTGAGTTTGAAAATTCAACTTGAAAGGCATCGTTACTTGTTAAGTCTTGTTCAATCGATAGACGTTGGAATTCGAATACACGATTTGGAGCGTTTAATTCACTTAGATATATTCTGAATCAGCGTCTGGAGGCTCAGAACATCTCTTCAGCTAAGAAGCACCGGGTCTTGAATGATGTGATACGATCTATGTTCGAGAAGTAGCGGTGTTCGGATACGAGAACCAGGTTGATAGCAGAGAATTTTCGTTTAGATCCTTCATAAAGGAGATGTTCGTCCCTCAGCAGATGTGAGATTGAATACATGTTCGGTGATGTAATTTCTGTAGGTATTCGATGCGATCACTGCGACAACTACTGGAACGGCTAGTGCACAGTTCTATAATGAGGTTGAACACACTAAGCATGGATAAGCTCTTCGACTTAGTGTCTATGGGATTAAAACTGCAAGTCATAATTTGTGATTATCGGAGGACAATGTGCTCCTGGTGAATTGGAGACCCTCAGACAGTACACTGTGGGCGGTCGGAGGAGATGATCATGGTGACGATGAACCATATTGATGGTATTATACGTTTTGTGAAGGACGACTCTGAAGTAGTGTCAGTGGCAAATATTGGATTGGTACGGTGCTTGTTTGTCAGGCTCTGCAACGCATAGATCATGCTACAATGTGCCTCAAGAGTAGGTAGAGATGTGTGCGTAACGATAAATGGTCACGAATACATATACTTACGACAAGTTGCATGCCAGTGACTTTAATACCCTACGGCAGACCGTGCTTCAGAATGTTAACCACAGAAGGGTATAGTGCTGGACGATAGAAACGACGGTCGCAGTCTAGGGCTTAGCTCCTGTCAGGTGAAGGTATCAGGTTTCTTACAAGAAAGTCTGCAAGAAGCTAATGCGTCTATACGGGTCAATAACGATGGCAGAGTTTTAGCCTATGGATTCGATAGACCAGGCAAGTGTATTGAGTTGACAGAGAGATGGTACGGTGGCGCAGGGACGATGAAGGAGTATCACGATGGTAGAGTAGTGAGGGTAGATAAGTTGGATATCAGCGGAAATGAGAATTGGAGGTATTTGTTGCGTGGGCGGGAGGCTGGCAGCAGTATGAGAACCACATGTGTTGGGGACAATTCTGAGGAAATTCTGGGAAATTCTTATCGCTTCCTGTACACCTATATTTGAGTATGTAAACGTCTATAATTAGTGAGAAAACTCCTAAGCTCAGCTGAGGAAAGCGAACATATATTCGGGCACTGGCGAGCAGGTCTCTTTTCATTGGAATTAGATCCTCACTAGCTGTGGATCGAGTCCAATGGGATGATGATAAAGAATGGTTTCGGCTTGGCGTCAACACCTATTCAGCAAAAGACGATGTTCTTCTGAGCAAAGAAGCGCAGTACGGACCCCTCACGTAGCGAGTTGGTCGATTGTTCGCTACAGGGATAAGGAGAGGGTCGTCCAGCAGCGAACTCGGGTGCTCGTCCCTCAGCCGAATGTAGGTAACAGTATGTGGTTGGTCGGCAGTTAGGAGGTCTTAGGTTGTCTCGAAAGTGGCTGAGACTGAGCTTTCGGTATTGGCCAATCTTATTGCGCCACCATCAGAGGGAGGGGAAGGACAGAGGTTCACTCTGAGGTTGTTCGAGGATGTTGATGATGCTACTCCTATGGATAACGTCGAGGCAGCTGATGATGAGGTGCATGAGGAACCGGAGACTATCACAGCTGCTGTGGCAACTGAGTGATGGAGATAGAACAGTTCTGGTAGCTTTGCAGAGTTGGTTTATTCTCGTAGGTCCTACAGAGGTGCCCTTAAGGATCTCGAAGATGATTTGGAGGAAGCTATCGGTGGTAGTAATAGTGCAGTTAGCGGTGAGGAAGAGGAAGATCTACTCGATCTCCTGTGAACATGCATCCTGTTATTTCTTGTAGCTATATTGTCTTGCGTTGTGATGTGCTCATATACATCGAGAGTCGATTAGCTTCGGTTCCCAACTTTGATGGCTGGATGTCCATAGGAGTGGTAGCTGTCCGTACATGCGTGCGAGTGAGGCCTCTACTCCCAGCTGAACTCGGAGCCGGATGCTTGCCCTGTGTGGAAGTGGTTACTGGAACTGGGGACGGCGAAAATGAGTAGTACTATATTTGAACGTATTTGTAGTGGTTAATGTAGGGTGGGTACCCAGCTGGCGGTTCGGCAGCCCTGCATGGATGGGACCTACCCCCCGGAATTGATACGATTCCATTCTTGTCTTGGACCGGATACGACACAGAAAGAGGTAGATATCCCCCAAGGGAGGAGTTGTACTACGTGATGTTAGGTGTTCGAGAGGTGTGGAGTCCGTGATATGCTGCATGCAGTACTAGAGGGCTTCAAGGCGGCTGTAATGGCCTATGGTCAGACTGGTAGTGGGAAGACGTACACCATGATAGGCGATCCCTCGAGGTGGGACTATGTTGATTGAATAGATGTGCATTCAGTGTGCTAGTGGTGATATGGGAGGGCTTATACACCACTGTGCCAGGGATCTCTTCCGGCTGATCAAAGAGCTTGGTAATGAACAGAGAGACGGTCGCTACGTGACATGATATCTCACAGGTCGTGATGTAACAGTCCGTGCCTCTTTCCTGGAGTTGTATAATGAGAGGCTCAATGATCTTCTTGTATCCCCTATTGGTGGCAATAAGGATAACCGATCAGCATCGCATCGCCATCCAAACCAGCTCCGTGTTCGATGTAGGACCTCTGGGAAGGTCTGACCTAGTCGAGGACGTTGGACGCGGGCTGGTCGTGGAGTAGTTCATACGGAATTAGGTACTGAGCGGAACTCTTTCTATGTGTCGGGCCTGCGGAAAGTAGAATGTGAGAGTGCTACAGACATTGTGAAACTCTTAGCTGATGGGACGGCGAATAGGCAGGTGTATGGTCATGAAGTGAACAGATACAGCTCGAGGTATTATCGGGAGTAAACGCCTCTATACCAACCACCGATTGCATGTTGCAGATCGCATTGTATATTTTCAATATTCTTGTCTAACGGTGGGAAGCTCACTTTTGCCGATCTTGCTGGATCAGAGAGGCTCAAAGAGTCACGTGGGAAGTCAACTCTAGTGCTGATGCGAACTGTAAGATGGTCAGGAACAGAGACTCAGCATAGAAAGGAAACGCAATCGATTAATAAGAGCCTCCTCGCGCTGGGGAAGGTCATCAACACTCTGGCTCAACAAGCACAGTGTGAGAGTGTTGAGCTCCCAGTAGAGAGAGTTTGTGAGGCTGGTGATCTCAGTGTTGGAGGGTTCGTCAATTAGTCGAGACAGGCCTGCGTCGGATCCCATTGCCGCAGCAGCTGGAATTCATGTACCGTATAGGGACAGCAAACTAACACAAATATTGGCGGACTCCCTTGGTGGCAGGGGTCTTGCGATGATCATATGTACAGTGAGCCCGGTATGTAATATTTAAAGCCTATGGGGTCGCCCCGGCTTTCGAGATTCTTTGTAGTAGGCCCAGAAGAACCACGCAGAGACGGTGCACGTGCTCCAATATGCACTGAAGGCGATGAGTATATCAAATGTACCATTGCGGTTGATGTATGGATTGAGAGCGGCGAATACTCCTGCGGATGCGGAGCTCAACTCGGAAAGACAGAAGTGAGTCGGCGTTCGATTTTGACAGTCTAATACGAGAAAATCTTGTAATACCGCAAACTCGACGAATAGGAATCTGAAACCTGGAATATTACGTGTTGTAAACATAAGAACCGTTTTAGAATGTATTATAATAATCGATCATTGGGGCGAGTGACGAATATGTGTACTCGGGACGCTGTCCAAATTCTAGAGGTGTACTGATCCACAAGAACCAGTCAGGACTCTCGACCTCATGCGAGCCGAGGTGGCGAGGCTGCGAGCTGAAAATCGTGGTTTCCAATCGAAGAATCGTGCTTTGGAGCGAATGCTTGGAAAGATGACTGCCAACAGTAGGCAGAGGCAGTCATCACTCTCAGCTGGAAAGGAGTCTTTGCCAGTAATTGCTGTTTCCAAAGGGGGGAGGGTAATAATCTACCATTAGAGTCTCAGCTCGTTGGTGTTTGGGTGTTAGGGTGGTGGGCCCTTGGTATCTCCAGCATCGTATTCGTCGTCGGCCCAAGCACCATCATGTGGCAAGTATAGTACTCTGAGCCTGCCTCCTGTACCCAACAAGTACAGACCACATCGTGTGATGAACATCCCCACGGGGCCCGGCACGAGATCGTTGGGCTGGAGTACTCCCCATAGGTAAGGGCTTGTGCTGAGTGATTATCAGGACGTGCTATTGGCAGTTACTCGTATGCCCAGCGGTCGGACCTAGATGCGGCATGGTCGTCGGGCTCGGACTCTGAACCTTCTAGCTACTATAGCGGAAGTGTTATAAAACCACAGGTAGGGAAGGGGGCCTCTCTATCGACCTGGTTGTGATTCTCGTAGTCGCTCTCGCTGAAGGGCATCAGGACGAGAGTGAAACTCAGACCAGTTGTTGAAAGGATCCTCGGGGATCTGGAGAGGAGGAGCCCGAATCAATGGCGATGTAAATTCAGTGTGGGGCCCCGGCCAATAGGTACGTGTATGGGCGGCCGTACGTCGCCTGAGGTGGTCGCAGATGGTGATGGAGACATAAGTGATGTGGCAGCCGACGAGATGATAGGGAATGAGCAGTTATTAGAATCTCCACTGAAGGAAGCCGATAACCTTCCTCTATGGCAACGACTGCGGACACATCGGGCCGAGACGAGACTCCAGGGATTGCCGTTGGTCACTTCTCTTGAGGGGACGCCTCGTGAAGAGCTAGCTAGTGGTGGTGGGGTAGAGGAGAGCAGAATGAGTGAGGACTCACTCCTTGCTTGGCCAAGGTAGGGAGTTGTAGTCGAGGCTAGGTTAATGGGACCGTAATTGTAGGGGTCACGCTGGACCACAAGAACAGGCTCTTAGGGGATCTCCAATAGGAAGCAGCGTTCAAAGTGACGGAATAGGGCTCGGACCAGACGTAGAGCCTTGGCGGCAGTCTCCTAGGATAGAGGAGTGTGCCCTCATACAAGATTCTTTAGATGTCGCTATGAGCAGGCTACTTCGACGGTGATGGTGTGGGGTGAAAGCATGTACCATGCATACCTGGCTGGCTGTAGCTTATTCCACTTCTTTCTTATCCATGATCGAAGAGAGTATTGCTCAGTTGTGGGAATGGTGCCCACCCGCCCTCTGCGGTCCTTAGGTTTCCTTTCACTCTATGGCCTTACTGTTACGGCGTGTCAGGGGTGCCCTCTTTCCCAAAGTTTGTACGCCTACGTACTGGGCGATGTCGGTTCGGCGATCGTTTTGTTTCGAGAAAAAGCGAACCTTTATATTCAAGAAGGCAAAACCTCTGGAGAACACTGAAAGGCTACGAGGGGAAGGTGATAACCCTAGAAGCTTGATATCGCTCGCGGAAATTTCTTGGGTAGATCCCGAAGAGCATTGGCCACCGGGAAATAGAGCCGGGGATTTGCAGTTGCCTTCTGAATTGAATAGGAAACTGTTTGTCTACAACTCACGGCATACGTGTGGGAGGTGAGTATCAGAGCTACTCCTCATGTTTATGGGCTGACTAAGAGGTATGCATCAGGAAGCGGTCGACGGTCCTTATGGTGACACAGGGTGACAGGCATAAGCCGATCCTTACACTCAACCGTGAGGAGTTTGAAGGGGTTATGGCTGCAAGGGAGGAGGCGGAGAGAGAGATCGTCAATTTTGGTAAGAAGCTCTGATACTGCATGTGCAGAAGATTCCAGTTTCCGTGTGCCCATGCCCGGCTTGTGTACAGCAGTGCATCTGAACGGCCGGTACGATAACATTGTTATCATAACGTCGAGGATCCCTCTAGATCGCGGAAAATTCCTCACGAGTCTCGTTTGGGTATATGTAGAGGCTTTTCGCCGTTATGTTGTGCAAGAGTGGCCCTGCTAGTATTCTCACGCTCGACATCGGAGGTAGGAGTGAAGAAAGTGCCGCTACCTAGGGCGTGCTAGATAATCACATCTAGGACTGGATGGTCATCATCATACCCCACCTATCTCCGATCGAGTCCCATCAGATGAGCACTATACTGTGGTATCAACTGTAGGGGACAATATGAGGTAGACTCTGTTGCCCATGGGTGACTCGGAGCCTCTGCGAGAGGTGAGAGGTTTCAAAGTAACACTTGATAGACATTGGTGAGGTTAGGGAGGGGGCAGACGATACGAACTGCTCGGAGCCCACTTCATCATAATAGCATATGAATGTCTTGAGAACCCAGGAAAGAAAGGTCTTCTCGCAACGAGAACCGGGGGTGGTTGACTATGCCCTTCCTAGTTCCCAGTTTGATGCTCTCTGTGGACTGACGAGATGCTGTGACAATCCAAGTCAGGCAGGAATGTCATCACGCTCTACTCATTTTTGAGGCTGACCGAGGGCATTCGCCGCAGATTAAAAAGGTATCCCAGAAGCTGCTCCGCAAGGGCGAACAGAAGCCCAGCCAGGAGCTCGCGACAAGGAAACTCGGAAGAGACTGCGATAAGCGGAGCTACTCTAGTGTGTATCGTACCTCGTGGCCACGCCCACGACCATAGTAACTTCGGAAACAAGCGCAGAGGGTACTTCTTACATTACCTGGTTGAGAACAACACCGCCACGACGATGGTATTCAATATCGCTCATTGTGTAATCGGAGCCCTTTCTCGATGTATACTTACATACAATGGTCGTAGGTTTCCGATTTTCAAGTATGTTGCGTTTCTAAGCTCTGCATTGTTTCAGATTCTCGTAGGTTTCCATACACGGCATGGCGATATGCCATCGACCACTACCACTAGATTAGATCGGTCTAAGCCCTTTGGTCTGGGCTTCATGTATGTCAAGGAACTGCACGGGAGCACTCGCGGCCGGGATCAGGTATATTTGCATTTGTACAATAGCGGCGACTATGACAATATTCCGCTATCGACACGGCCGTATTACATCCTACCTGTTATGAGGGGCGGACTTGGTCGATCTAACAATCTCAAGAGAGGCCGATCATCGGGGGTATCTGGATCGGGAGTGATGCAAGGTGTGGAAGATGTACCAATGAGGAAGCGGCGTAGGACCAGTAGTCTAGGCTCTGAGGTCTCTGCCCAGACAGTGCGATGAAGCAGCACGGGTGAGGCTCTTGGTTATGCGCGGGGATCGCAGAAGCTGTCCAGGCCCGCGGAGAGAATTCCGAGCAGCCGTCAACAAGATCTACTGACGAAGAACTATCGATGCTAGAGGTTGAGCCGCCGTTTGTCGAAGCGACGCAAGAGAGAACTCGAGAGATGGCGGGGATGGGGAATGAAATGCAGGATCGTGAGTTGGACAATGCTGGGGCTCCGTCAGGAGAAGACGAGATCGAACAGCACCATGAAGGATCGCACGAAACCCCTCGTCTGGAGATGTGCGCACATCGGGTGGAAGAGGCAGTGGAGAGGCAGAAGAGGAGGGGGGGGATGAGGAGGGTACAGCTGACTCATTCATAGACTATGATGCTGCTGAAGACAACAATCTGTTCGAGGCCCTCTCTGAGTCATTGTAGTTCGCCTCGCCGGATGAAGATGTGGAGAGGTCCCCAAAGAGCTCAAGATCGGAGACTTAAAGCTGGGGTGGAGGATCTGTCGACGAGTGGCTGCCTTCAATCGTGTTACTGTTCCTAGATGACGATGCCTCCTCTACATGTGGAGCATCACCTTTGGCCTCTATAGAACATTCGGCCAAGAAATTGATCGATGCCACGACCCTTCAGGTTTTCGCTCCCGAGAGGATGCCACAGGTCTCGATCATCCACCGCGTCGGCTGACGAGCTGCCACCTTCCCCGATATCAGCACTTTTGCTCACCTCGAGTAGTTTGCCAGTGTAAAATTCAGAGTGTGCTGATCCCCTTCCGACGCATCTTCGATGGCTGTGAAACCCTCTGTACGGGCAATTCAAAACGTTCTTCACCAGGATACATCAGGAGCTTTCCCTCAGAGGAGCCCATTCCCCACAACCCAGCCTAGCGGCTGGATGAATCTTGATGAGTTTCGTCTGCTAGTGTCGAGTTGCCACTCTGAGCCCGTTCTGACACGGTGTGGCCTAAGAGTACAAATGGATCTAACAAATCCGAAGATGAGGACTCCATCGTCCCCTCTTCACTATTTTTTCCTCTTCCCCTTCCTCCCACTTCCCCCCTCCTTTGAGTTTTTCTTCTCTGCCTCTCGTCCTGATTCCCTTCCTGTCTAGCGCAATGGTGAAGCGATGAATTTCTGAGCCGAAGGGTTGTGCGCGGCCCCCTGCGAGGTTACGAGTATGAGAATAATGCAATCAGTGTGCGAGTCAGTGACTCGGAGTCACAAAGATTGCGAGACCGGAATTTCTGTGTCCTAGATCTTCCACGTGTCCTGTGCTATACGGACTTGGCATATGTGAGGGGCATTACGCCACAAACGAGATGAAGCTGAGCTAACGTATCGACGCAAACTGCATCATTATTACATGCACATTAGAGTATTCCAGAGGAACAGGTGGAAGTCAGTCGAGCCGATCGTACTTGTTTCAAATTGCGATAAGCATGAACCGGAGTGGCATTTCGTTTGTCGCCCCGTAGCGAGCTAGACACAGAATCTTAGCTGGTAACAACACGAATGTCTACATTCCCAAACCAAGGCATGGTGTAGAGTGGAGTTCATTTCATAGTTTGATCAGCTCAATTAGCGTTGTAGTTCTTTTACGCTCTTTCATGTCTATTTTCGCTCACAAGTGGATCGTGCTATCAGTGGTTTCTGCTTCGGTTACCTCCTGTTTCTCGTCATCTGTTCAAGATGATTATTGCCGAAGATTTGTTGGTCCTGATTCCTATTGTGACCATTCAATCTGCCACGGTAGTCTCAATAGCTGTACCGAGTCCGCGATCATCAATCGAGCGATCGTCGTAGAAGCTGTCTCGTTAGGGATGAGGATAGCCACGGCCCACTTGCTGAAATAACAGCACAGGGTCAATAACTTTCGGCTGTCTATCGTGGGGATATCCACCGAGACCACCTGCCAGGGTCGTGTAGCATAATGTAATCGTAATGGTGCTGGTGGTCCATTCTTCCGTCGCAAAATACATACGGGACAAGTCTTGACATATGCTATACAATCGGAGCGTAAGGTAGGCCAGAAGCAGAACTTTATCATAGTATCATATAAGATATCTCCACCAAAATGACCGTCATTATGTACACTTTGTAGGAGTCGGGATCGTAGGGACGTTGGTATAATAGGGAGATTGAGAGGGTCATAATAGGGGTATGGAGTATACTTACGAACCAATAAACCGTCTTGAAGCTTCAGTTCATGACGGAACTTGATATAGGGCATTACCGAAGATGGTACATCGACAGGGCCGAGAGTTGAAGTTGTTGAAGTTGGAAGAATATTACGTAGGTTGACGCATATAGGATCTGAAGACTGTGCTTCCTTGATTTCTTGGACAGATAATGGATCTTCTCCCTCCTTCGAGACCACCGGGCAGATAGGTAGCAAACAAGATGCTGACGGTAAGCCAATGGGATTTTGTTGTGATAGATCTTTGTCTAAAGTACCATCGACCTCGGTTAGTGAAGGATTACTGGTCGTTGCGGTAGTTGCGGTCAACAAATTACGCAATTCTTGGAATTGCTTTGCTGACAGAGACGGTGGAGCTGTAAACTCCAAAATCGTAGACGACGTTGGGCTCTGACCACCGTGCATAATATATTCGAAGATCGACTGTAGCCTTGTACCGCGGTCTGCCAAATTCAACTTAGTAGGGACCAGGACGATATTATAGTGTCGCCAATGAGCGTTCAGCATGATAGCTTAACTGCCTCTGACAAAGTGCAGCACTATGGGAAGATTGATGTGCACGTCCAGAAACTAGTTGACGATAGCTTGTCTGTGAATCCACCACATGATAAATAGAAGCCGGATGAAAAGTACGAACATAATGACTGTCTGCATAATTACAGGCACGAAGAGACGCCAAAAGTTCAAGGTAATTTATGTGTTTACCTTGATGTTTGGGTGGCCATATACCATACTCTCCTCCAATATAAGAGAGTGTCGTCATTGGAGTACCATAGAAGGCTAACCAAGAGTAACCAGTAGTTGAAGCATCAACATATATCACCAATATACCAGACGGAGCTATACAACCAACTGAGCTACAAGACTCAACTTCATTAAATTCTTGAAGACGAGCTAGTCGACCATGCCACAGACGAGACTCGTCATCTGGGAAAGGATGATCCCAAGCATACGATATCGAGCCTATAAGATGTTTGAGATAGTTCGTAATCACACTACATAAAGGTCGTAGAAGTAAAGGATCTCGAAGTTGGGCTACAGTAGCTAATAGCTTTCGACGAGTAAGAGGTTGTTCTGCTGAGACGCCTGCTTGTATATTCACCACAGAATACGACACCTTTCTTTGCTCTTTACTATAGAGAACTCCAACCAGCTTGGCTTCAGTAACGGACTCCACTTTCTCCTCCTGCTCAAGAAGTAATTGATCGGCTTGCTTAACTGATAAGAAGGAAGTTTTCTTGGGCTGAACTGTGAACTGAGCTTTTTGTAGAGCTTGCAGTACCAATGTCACCGCCGCTGATGGGGTCAAAGTCACTGAAGGTACCATCATGATAAGGAATAAATCATCCATATACTGGATGAGTTTCCAACCACTTTGCCGAAGTTTTTCATGAAGATTTTCATCATGAAAGAGTAGAGGGAGACATATTTCCAGAGCATGTGGAGCTACACAGGCTCCAAACCCTAAACGTTTATGTTGATACACCTTCGATTGGTATCGAAAGAGAGTAAAGCGTCGCAGTGGTATTTCCAATCCAATGGCCAAAAATGCCTTAGAAATATCTACTGCTATGACGATTGGACCGAGACCAGGGTTTGCCCTTTGGGCACGGGCGGAAATTTCCGAAGGAAATTTTCGAGAAAATTTCAGAAATTTCCGTTGAGGCTGGAAATTCTTGGAAATTTGCTAAAAATGCCCAAAAAATCGTGCCCAGGGTAGTAGAGAGGAGAGAAGTAGTTCAGATTCATTCATAATGGCCGAATAAAGCTAGTGAAGGCGTTCGCAGGTGTCTACTGGTCACTATGAATACATCTTGCGGTTACCCTCAGATATCGATCAGGTGGGCGTGCGCGTGAGCCTCTCAAGAGTTAGCGATTCTCCAACTATCTTGCAATCTTGCGTTCTCTCTCTCGAGAGTCGAATAGTGTCGAGGTAGCTCCAGTTATTTTCACGGTTGGCGCTATCGACCTACTTGGCTGTAGTCCAGTGGACTAAGTCCACCATATCTAGCCGCGTTCTATCGAGTACACCTTCGGCGGTAATCTTCGCATTCACACGTTAGCTGTAACTCGCACGAATTTGCGTCACTTTGGATAAGCTGCTGAGCCCCAGCATGATGGACGGTATCCGAGGTGGAGACGCCTAGCCTATGGGTTTGGGCCCTATGGGCCATAGGGCGTAGACATCGATCACTTTCTCCCGTAATTCAGATTGATTATGGTGGATGAAAAACGAGATGAAATATCTCATTTCCCCTCTAAGAGCCCAAGCTTTTGCTCACGTTCGACCCAGAACAGTAGACTCAGTTACCTAGGATACAAACTGAAGCAGAACTCGGCCAGCCTCGGCCAGACTCGTATAACACCCTAAGATGACATGGCTACTATAGCGGGCCGAAGGGCCGCGATTTATCTGGTTCAAACCACCCTATTTGGCATGACATACGTTGGGCCCGGAAGTGGCATACGTTGGGTCCGGTGGGCATACCTGGCTGCTCGCATGTCTCGCGCGCCCGCATGGCGTGCGAGATTTACACGGAAATTTCCATTTCCACCATTTCCGAAATTTTCCGTGATAAAATTTCCTTTCCGCGAAATTTTGACGCTTGCCCGCCCAAAGGGCAAACCCTGACCGAGACGTAGTTGTTGTTGAACTTGGCTGAGTAGTTGCTGCCGCATTGGTCCATGATGGACACAGTCGTTGATAGGCTGAAAATCCCATATAGGTCGAGATGGGGTGGACGTCGATCGTTGTGCAACCCCAAACCATTTGAGGAAGTTGCAATCAGAGCCAAATGAAGTTAATGTAGACGGTACTACTTCAATAATATCATTATCAATATAGTACTTGACTTGCTCATGGAAGTATCGCTGATGTGCTTCGTCTAGACGAGAAAGAAAAGGTTCGGGACCGACCGATGATGTTGGAGGGGGACATGACCAATGCCAGGAGATAGAGAACCGACCGGACGGTTCGCGATAGACTGATAGTTGACGATCATCGTACAGTGAAGGACTTGGTTCTCGGACAACTGCTTGAACATGACGAGGTATAGACGATACCGAGGTCACAAACGGGATTGTTTGTGACGAACTTGTCAGCGACGCTGAATCGAAATCAAGGTACGACCTTGAAAGACGTAAGAAGTCCGCTCCCAGAATAATATCAGCTGGTAACTCTGGAACCACGAAGAATCGTAGAGAGTGAATAGTCGTGCCAACTTGAAGAGGTAGAGATACAGCTCCTAAGGTTTGGAAAGGTTGGTTGTTCACCGTTACCAAACTGGGCTTCGGATGAGTATCTAAAGTGATAAGTAGGATCACGTATCCCAAGATGTTGTAGCACTTTCCGTTGCAACAGTGATACTACTGAACCAGAGTCTAATAGAGCAACCGCTTCCTTGGAGAAGATGGTGACCAAAATATGTGGTAGATAAGCTGCATGACTAGCTTTTTGTGTAGCTAAGACAGTTACGGGGAGGACTCGGCAGCTTAATGAGTCTTCCCCTGTCCGTTGCCCGATTTGACTTGGGAATGACAAGCTCTACTAACATGTCCTCGTCGACCACATTTTCGACAGCCAATTGACTTGTCCATACGGCAGTCTTTTGCAAAATGTCCTGGTCTTCCACACCGATGACATATAATCGAAGGGGGGCAAGAGGTAGGTGGTACTAAATTGACCGATGATACTGGTGGGTCTGATAAAGAAGCCAACTCCTTATCTACCAACATATTATCAGTGGACGGCATACCTAACAGCTCAGCTGCATTAGGGGTAGAATCTGCTCGTAATCGTGCTTCATCAAGGCCCAAGAGTTGTTGTACTCGCAAAGCAGCATCAAATAAACTCAATGTAGAGATCTCATTACACAAAACTCTTGCATAATCTGGGGGAATACCAGCCAAGAACTGGTGAGTACACAGTTCATCTCGCTCTTTGGGCTGAAGACCTGGCATCAGCTCACTTGTCATATGACGTAGGCGTGTTGCAAAATCCATAGGATGCTCCTTAGGATGCATCTTCTGATGGGTAAAAGATAGCCATGTTGTTGCTGTTCTGGGTCGCAATGCTTTGTTAAGCACCGAAATAGCTTGGTCCAAGGTTGTAGGGGTCCCAGCTTGTTCTAACTCTCGATAAATAGAATAAGTTGTGGGATCAAGGTAAAGCGGTAGAAGCTTTATGCCCTTTGCTTCATCATAGTTATTGACCTTGACGATAAGCTTGAACCGTTCAGACCAGGTGGTGAAGTCGTCGCCATACCTGTAAGTTGGGGGGTGCAAAATACCACGTGTCGATGTTGAAGGAGTCGACGACATAGTACAGGAGCTGCTACCAGATGTAACCAACGCAGTAGATAGGACAGAGGATAGTAAGGGAAGATATGACTAGCAATACTTAACTTGGTTACAAGCAGAAGAGAACAGCTTAGGGACAGGACACAATTGATCGATAGCTCCAAAGATAGGTGGAACAATCGGGACAATAGTAACACAATTGTTTACACGGATACCGGTCTCGAGCCTGTTGGCAGCCTATTATGTGTTCTGGCATAAACGAGCTAGTGGCACAATGGCAAAGTGTGTCATCATGTCTCCACTAGGAAAGAGAGAGAGGGGGTGAGTGGAGAGTATGCCAGAACACATAATAGGTTGCCAATAGGCTCGAGACAGGTACCCGGAGCCGGTCCCGGCAGTGATTGGGACAGTCGTTCCGTGGCGTTGAGCGAAATAGTTTTCCTTTGTGTTGCACGTATACACAAAGGATTTTGTCCCCTCGCGTTTCGCTAGGAACATTGCCACCTGGGGTCCTGGTTTCCTAGTTGATAGTCTTGTGCTCTTGCGAGTCATGAGACCGACAAACAAGCTCTCGCGACGATGGGTACCGGCGACCATAGCTGAACGTCTAGGGAAAAAGACTTACAGCCTCGTTGGTATGCCTGGTAAATTCGACCTCAAGGACCTCAAACCATCACCTGATTCGCGTTTCGGAGACCCTTGAGGCTTCCGTTTTTCCATCTTCCCTGTACATTCCTTTCGCTTATTTCTCTCTGTTTTTTTGCTTCGAAGGAGGGAGGGTGAGTGGTACGCCAGCAAGCACGCGATCATATCGCGCTCGCCAAGAAGAATAGCACACGTCTGCGAGACACGTGAATCCGCGTGACGTGACGTCCGCAGTGACGTGACGTCTTTTCCTGCCTCGCCTTCCTTCGTTCGCTCTCATTCGCTCTTTCCAACCTTCCTCAAGGTTGTTGCGTTCTGGCAATTAATTGTCCATAACTGCTGATCTGAGAGCACCTAAGGCCATCGTAGCTGGCTTCAGCGAAGCCGTCGCTCTGCGCCATTCATGCACTTTTCGTGCAATCTTACTGACAGTTCGGATACTTACTGATAGATTCAGTCAGAGCCTCACGTCATCACGTCACGTGACGGGTGAAAGCCGTAACGTCGGTTTTTTTATGAACTATCTTTTCCAACCAACATAACTCTACTTGTGTGTTGAGCGTCAAAGCTGGCGACGACAACAGTCCAACACAAAGTGCCCGTGTATGGCCGACCGGGCCTCTTATATGTCCTCGGCTGCTCATCACATCGTTCGCCGACCGTGGGCGTCCGCTTGTTTTGATCGATACGTGAGCTCCCGCAGGATGTGGGTACGTTCGTAGCTAAGCTGTTAAACTAGATCGTCCATTGAATAATTGCGTTACGCCGTAACGGTTATGATATCCATCTTGACACAAGGCTCTAGTTCGCTAATCCAATAAGACTATGCCATAGCCACTATGGCATCCCCACACAGGAAGCAATTAGCACTTCTTTAGAGTAATATCTATCGACTAATGATACTTCTCGCCTCCTTGCTGTCTAGTCTACTTTCTCTGTTGCTCACAGAAGGCCTCTTGACGAGCCCATTGCCAAGGCAATATGGCCTGCGCTCGCTTGATGACGTAGTTTACCGCAAATACAAGAGAGGGGATGACCTGTCCCTCATGGAACCACTCGATTGTGACATCTTCACCTGTTGGGTCGCAGTTACCAGTGGAGATCGGGTGAGGATTTTCTCAACTCTGCAATTGCACCATAAGGAGACTAGTCGTTTGTTCTGTCAAGTCCATAAAGTCTCGGTCGAGCGGCATCTATATCGCTGTTACATTCTCTCTTTGTTTGAACGAATGAGAGCTTGTTACGGATCGATCGAGTCAATGAATCCGAACTAGCAGTGACCTACTCAAGCAAGTCAATCCGTGATCGTGGTGTCATTATCGTTAGTTGCAAATGAATTGACAATCGATAGGTCGCTGACAGCGACTCGCTGTTGTTCCGGCATCTTTCCTCAGAAAGTAGTTGGTGTGGTGGAGATGGTGCTTCCTCAAGACGACGTATCCCCTTCGATCAAGGCTGCAATCGAAAATCTAAGGTGAATAACCCACTGTTAGTTGTCTCGTTCAGTGGGTCACTGAACAGCACTCTGAATTAGAGCCTCTAATGTTGAGAAGCTGTGGCCCACAGCCTTTGGTACTTGTTCCCTCTAACGTTTCTCTTGCAGACCAAAAGCAAGCAAGAAAAAACCAGATGGAATAATTGCTCAGATTCTACTTGTGGGTTGGAGATCATCATTTGGCGGGTAGTGACCCTCCTGAATTCTCAGGTGCATGTTGCGAAGTCTTGGAGAAACAAAAAAATCGGATCGAACCTACTGCCACAGGTGTTCAGAGATGTGAGGCGAGCGGAAAACCTTCTCGAGTGGCTTGTTCTCGGATGAGACCTTTGAACGTGGAATGCTGATGTTGTTATTCGTTTGTCTTTCAGCTTCCTAAAGGCTATCCCGAATGGGATGTCGTCTACTTGAAGGTGGGGCGCTCGAACGATGCTGCGATTCGACTCTATGAAAAAACGGGATTCATCAAGATACTAGGTGAGTTTCTCTGTTCGTCGCGGTATCCATACTGCGGACCATACCTGATCATACCAAGGACATGCAGTATTTACACGGGGGCATGTTCTTCAGCAGATGATTAGCTTGCAAGTTTGCAATATATGGGTAAGTTATCCTGAACTTCGCCACTCTCAGATACTCCTGGTGACCTTCTCGTATACGCTCGTTACAACCTGAGCTAGCTTCTCCATGCTATGAGGTGTCTCTTGACTTTCATCGCTAACCAGTGGTGACTATCATGGATGGTCGCTCATAGGCGGTGTTCTGAGTCTTTTGTGCTGGCTATCCTTTCATTTTCTTTTCGTACTAGACATACTCGCGTGGACCCATAATGAGCACGCGTGTTACGCTCGGCTTAGCCGAGTCCGCTAGCAGATACATCCTAGCCTGAGCTACCCTCATCAGATTTCTCCAATCATCATTTTTCTGGTTTACTGGTAAGACTGTTGAGTTGCACGGAAGTCACCATCGATAGCTTCCCCCGGAGAGTGACCCTCGAAAAGTCAGTGGACAACCGAATCGTGTCTCAACAGCACATAGTCAACTAAGTTGACTCAACTGTTTCTTGCATTTGCAGCTCCTACGTTGAACGTGAATCTCAGACATTCAATATCGTGAATAACGCGATGAAGTCCCCCGTCGGCTCTCAGGAAGCACGTTAAAAGGAAGCTTGGTAATTAAACTTTTGTAGTTTGTGTCATGAAGACTTTGAGTTTTAACGTCATGTGCCAGCTGGAGGATCACATCCGTGCGGGATTATAAGATTTGGTGACACGCCGCATTGACACAGTGTTCAGGCTGAACAGTTCAGCGCCGTGATTTCTCAAAAGATCACAGCACATTGTGCTGAGCACAATCATTCTGGATAATTCAGACTGAATTGAATGATATTATCATATCTGAACAGTCTGTAATAACCACAAGGGCGATATTATGGCCAATATCACGCATATGGCCGCCATTTGCATAATATTTTCATCCCTGAGTGTCCAGTGGAGTCAGACGAGCAGCATCATGTCAATGTCGCTAGTACTCAAAAACCTCGCAAAAGCTGATGATCTTGATAAAGAGGCCTTACAGGGTCCAGTGGGACTCGGAACATTGGGGCGAGTGACGAATATGTGTACTCGGGACGCTGTCCAACTTCTAGAGGTGTACTGATCCAGAAGAACCAGTCAGGACACTCGACCTTATGCGAGCCGAGGTGGCAAGGCTTCGAGCTGAAAATCGTGGTTTCCAATCGAAGAATCTTGCTTTGGAGCGAATGCTTGGCAAGATGACTGCCAACAGTAGGCAGAGGCATTCATCACTCTCGACTGGAAAGGAGTCTTTGCCAGTAATTGCTGTTTCCAAAGGGGGGAGGGTAATAATCTACCATTAGAGTCTCAGCTCGTTGGTGTCTCCAGCATCGTATTCGTCGTCGGCCCAAGCACCATCATGTGGCAAGTATAGTACTCTGAGCCTGCCTCCTGTACCCAACAAGTACAGACCACATCGTGTGATGAACATCCCCACGGGGCACGGCACGAGATCGTTGGGCTGGAGGACTCCCCATAGGTAAGGGCTTGTGCTTAGTGATTATCAGGACGTGCTATTGGCAGTTACTCGTATGCCCAGCGGTCGGACCTAGATGCGGCATGGTCATCGGGCTCGGACTCTGAACCCTCTAGCTACTATAGCGGAAGTGTTATAAAACCACAGGTAGGGAAGGCGGCCTCTATATCGACCTGGTTGTAATTCTCGTAGTCGCTCTCGGTGAAGGGCATCAGGACGAGAGTGAAACTCAGACCAGTTGTTGAAAGGATCCTCGGGGATCTGGAGAGGAGGAGCCCGAATCAATGGCGATGTAAATTCAGTGTGGGGCCCCGGCCAATAGGTACGTGTATGGGCGGCCGTACGTCGCCTGAGGTGGTCGCAGATGGTGATGGGGACATGAGTGATGTGGCAACCGACGAGATGATAGGGAATGAGCAGTTATTAGAATCTCCACTGAAGGAAGCCGATAACCTTCCTCTATGGCAACGACTGCGGACACATCGGGCCGAGACGAGACTTCAGGGATTGCCGTTGGTCACTTCTTCTGAGGGGACGCCTCGTGAAGAGCTACCTATTGGTGGTGGGGTAGAGGAGAGCAGAATGAGTGAGGACTCACTCCTTGATTGGCCAAGGTAGGGAGCTGTAGTCGAGGCTAGGTTAATGGGACCGTAATTGTAGGGGTCACGCTGGACCACAAGAACAGGCTCTTAGGAGATCTTCAATAGGAAGCAGCGTTCAAAGTGACGGAATAGGGCTCGGACCAGACGTAGAGCCTTGGCGGCAGTCTCCTAGGATAGAGGAGTGTGCCCTCATACAAGATTCTTTAGATGTCGCTATGAGCAGGCTACTTCGACGGTGATGGTGTGGGTGAAAGCATGTACCATGCATACCTGGCTGGCTGTAGCTTATTTCACTTCTTTCCTATCCACGAATCGTGGATAGTATTGTTCAGTTGTGGGGATGGTGCCGGGCACCCGCCCTCTGGGGTCCTTAGGTTTCCTTTCACTCTATGGCCTTACTGTTACGGCGTGTCAGGGGTGCCCTCTTTCCCAAAGTTTGTACGCCTACGTACTGGGCGATGTCGGTTCGGCGATCGTTTTGTTTCGAGAAAAAGCGAACCTTTATATTCAAGGAGGCAAAACCTCTGGAGAACACTGAAAGGCTACGAGGGGAAGGTGATAACCCTAGAAGCTTGATAATGCTCGCGGAAATTTCTTGGGCAGATCCCGAAGAGCATTGGCCACCGGGAAATAGAGCCGGGGATCTGCAGTTGCCCTCCGAATTGAATAG